AAAAAAAGAGGAAAAAAATAAGGAGAAGGAAGAAGACATGTTACCTGAGTTACCTGATGAAATTATTTTACACATCCTTTCATTTGCGGATGCAAAAACCGCAGTTCAAACATCAGTTATGAACAAACGGTGTAGGTATCTCTGGGCTTTCCTGCCCGTTATTAACTTGGATGACTCATCATTCCAAGATGCTATGTCATTTGAGGTTTTTATAGATAATTTTTTGTCTTGCAGAGATACTTCCACCAATGTTTTTAATGTTAATGTAGATTGTCATAATGTCCTTTATAATGATCTTGTGGTAGATTCTATCATTGATCATGTTACTGATACACCATCCATCACCACTACCATTGATGTACTTACAATCCTTGCTTGTTGTGATGTGAGCAACCTTCCTAAACTCTCTGTATGTACATCTCTCACTACTCTCAAACTTTCTTACATATCCAGTGAGATCACAAATTTCGATCTTCCTTCTCTTAACCACCTATACCTCTATGGTTGTGAATTTGTTTGTGAATCGGAAAGCCCTTTTGATCTATTTAAGGGTTGCGTCAATTTGGAATCTCTGTATTTGGTTAGTTGTACGTATTATGGTGAATTTAATACCTTCAAAATCTCTGCCTCCCACCTTGTATACTTAAATATATCAGATTGTGGAGTGTCTGGGAAGTTTCAACGTGACTGTGTCTTTGAGCTTCAAACACCAAGTCTTCAATATTTTAAATATACTGATTCTTATCATTTATATTCTTTTTCTACTGAGGTTAATCTTCTCTTTGTGGAGAAAATATATATCAATGTAGGGTGGTTGGGTAAAAGTACTGTTTCCTTATTTTATTCTTTGGTTGAGCTATTTGAAATCATGAAAAGGGCGAAATCTGTATCTCTGTCATCAAGAATCATTCGAGTAAGTATTTTTCTTTTGTCAAATTATTATTCTTTACAATACCAGTGTAGCACAAGAATAGGATTACAATTATGTCTGATTTGATAATTCATTTTCTTTTTGTAGGTTTTATCTATGTTTTCTGCTGAATTAGAGGATAAATTTTCTCCTTTCACTAGAATGCAAACTTTTGATTTAATTTGTGGTACATTTTCCTCTTCTGCCATGCCTCAGGAAGTAAAAAATTATTTATTTGGTTCAACTTGTTGATTTAATTCACATGGATGTGAGAGTAAGTTATCCTAAAAAGTTTTATTTTTTTAGATATTATAATACATTTCTTTCTTTTTTTGAATATAATGCCGTTTATTTTGTTTACAGGAGCAAAATGGAAAAACCAATATGTTTTAAGATGTTTGTTTTTGCGGAAAAGTTAAACGGTGGAATTAGATTTTTTATTTGTCTAGGTTTTA